CAAGAAAACTCAACTTTTCTTTACATTTACAAACTACAGTTCTACTTTGCAGTGTTGCATGAAATAAATTATACCAATTTGTCTCTGTTACATAGAGAATAACAAACATACACAGTAATGTTACCAGCAGAGGATACAATATGTAGTACATTTGTCATTATTAACCATATTGGGGTCAGATCACTTTATTATTATACATTTATACATATATTTATTATACATTAGTTTCAGCTCTCTTACTCTCACCTATAGTTAAACGAGATGTGTTCCATAGAAAAATAAATTTAACAAGAGAAATGTATAAAACAACATAAAATGAGAGGAAGTATGTGATCATTTTTAATTTGATCTCCACATTCTTCAATGACAGGTTACCCTGTTTATTCCTACATAAAATCTTAAGTAAATCAACTTAAGTCAGCAAAACAACCAATTCAACTTAGGCTTTTGCTAATTGAAGGTGCCCTGTGGAGTGTTTCTGTAAACAAGCAAATTTCTGTTTACATTGACTGTTTCCCACCAAAATGTATATATTCTTGACACATTGAATATATTTCCTTCCTCAAAAAACATTTTGGAAAGCTGACTTTTAAAAAATATTTTGAAACCTGCATTGTTTACATCAATGTTTGCTACCTGGAAGTCTTCTTCTTACCTGCACATCACTAGCGTGTGTTGTGCAAGAAAAATACAAAGATACAGACAAAATGGGGGGCCACTCATTAAAGTCCTCCACAGAATTACTTAATCAACCATTTTACAGGGTATTTTTAAACCTTTCATACATATAAGTTCTTTACATTAATGGGTTACAGTTATGCACTCTAACTTGAGGATTTTAAACTAGTAATTTACTGCTATTTCCAGGTACTACACTGGGAAGTACACTTGACTTCTTCTCATGAAACTGCAAAAAGAACAGCAACAGAAATCTGTAAGCATGTACTGTAGTTTGCTTGTCATTCCTCCTCAGGCAGAGCATTTCAACACATTCTGGTCATTTTTGGTCCTGCTGTTTGATTGCAGGATGGCCTTGGGTGCTTCTTGCCTGAGCCACTCATTCAAGGCTTCAAGGCTCCAGATAGGCCTCATAGCCTAAAGAAGACAAGACTGTCAGGCTTCTACTTTGCTGACTTGTTGAGCTGTCAGGTTTATTGTGATGTTGTCATGGTTGCTTTTGAAGTCTCCATAACCACCTTGTGCTCTCTTTTTTTCCTCTTTTATTTTGTCATGTGAAGGAGATTTCTGCAGCCGCTATAATTGTCCCTTGTCCTGCATATATTTATTGGCTGAAGCAAACCTGAAGCAAGCCTTTCAGTGGCCTCAGTGGCCTTGACTAGTGAGAAGGCCAGCTAGAGCGTAGGATAATCCAACTGAGTAAAGCCCATTGCATGTAAGGTCCAGGCCTGAGTTTATGAACGCTGATACCTGGTTGTGCATCTTAATGACCCTGCATTAACAGCAGTAAAGGAGATGAATTAGCCCATTTAAATGAATTGGCAACGCTAGCACGTAGCATCCCAGCTTAATATAAACCACAGTTTTCTGTAAAATTAGCACACACTCCCTCAAAAACGCATTCATAAAAGCCAACACACGTGGGCATGCACACACACATCCTATACTGTAAATGCAGACACACACACACACACATACACACATGCACGGCTGGAGAATGACAAACTGATTAGCTCCCTCTCACTGAGAATTAATTGGGTTTCTTCACGCTTAAAATTAATTCCCTCTTTTTATAATGTCCTATTTAAGAGTTGTGGCGGTTAAATAAATAGAGGTGATGAATGGCTGGCATGCTGAGGACAGTCAGGGTGTATAAGAGTGTAACCATGGATGTGCACTTCCTGTTCACTGGCTTCAAAATGGCAGGAGGTGTCATGTTGGACCTGGGCGTAAACTTAACAGTGTGTTTCCTTTTGTCTTTCGGGATACAAACAGACACATTAAGATGTCAGTTTTGGGGATTCATTTTTGAGCTGGAGTCGGTTATGTTTTATGTTCTGAGATTACCATCAGCTGTGTTTTATTGCTTAGCGGCCCTGTCTGATCCTGAGATTTCTAAAGTCTCAGTTGTTAGAGTCATGTAGATATCGACTGAGCGCATTGATATATCTGTTTTATTCAGTTACAATAAAATATGGCCAGGCAGGGGATCAACAGCCCAAATGTTTTGAATTTGATTCCCATGGTCTCAGTTTAACACCTTGTGTAGCACCTGTAGTGAAATACCTCTGTTTATTTTCCACTTTTTCTCACAAAAACATATAAAAATTGTTAAAATGATTATCACTGAAATCTACCACAAGCGGCTGAATGCTTTCCAAAACTCCCAGAGTTGTTGCAGCCTCTTGACTTTACGCTTTGGATGGATTGCCGCTTATGGAGCTCAGGTTGTATTTGACAGTGGAGAGATTTCACAGCCTGCCTGAGGATACACACATTGTTATTCACTTCATAACGTCTGAGCTGCAGTAATAGCAGTAATATCGAGAAACAAAGACAGACAGACACACAAATCAAAGCGGGGTCTGTTTGATAAAACGGTCTGTCTTTATAGCAGCTGTTGTGTTGATGAAAGTAGCTGATTGATTACAGGAGACTCCATTTACTAGTGTCACTATACAGACAATGGGGGTTGTTATTATTTGTGGTATGATAAGTATTGTTTAGCGAGAGCAGTTGTGTACTACAGTCGTTTGATGCGTCACATTGAGTGAAGTCATGATCTTACTTTGATTCTGCCTGTTAAATACACAATTAATGCTAATTATGTGTTTTGTCCAGTGTATTTAACATTCTCTCTCAGTCCTGTCAGGCTTTTTGGTTTCTGTTAATACAAATCTAACAGATTCATTTATGCCTGAATGCCTTTCTCTGTTGCATTGCACCTTTTTACATTCAATTAAATATAGACATTAACAATTTAGCGAGAAGTAAGTGTTATGTTAAGAGACCACACAAAGATCATTTTAGCATCTCCACCAAAGTTAGCATTGACAAACAGCCAACCTCCTGATTCAGAGTGTGATCTGTGCTCCTGGGGTGTTGAATATTGCATTTGAGAAAGAAGATGAAATCTGATTACAGTTTTGCCGTCAGGGCCCCTGTTACACTGAGTACTTTGCCTCAGGAGGCTTAAGAAGTTAATTCAGTATGATTTTTCACATCAACACTCATGCGTAGACTAACTTTTATCTTTTATGTGGCACATTTTATTTTGCCCATCTTTTTTAAGTCATTTTCTTATTTGTGTGTCAGTATTATGTTTCAGTATCTATCAATCACACATATTTAAAGAAAAAAAAAAAAAAGGCCCAATGGAGAGAATTCATATTTGAGGTCGCAGGAGGAGTGTTTTTTATTATTTGGCCCAGAGGCAGTCTGCTCCAGAGGTGGGGACAACACATGTAACTGTAACCCCTGCTTTCTGTATTTTGTTATGGGGTTGCCATGGCAACTGAAGGCTTGTATTTAATTTTGGAAAACATTCATACTGTGTGTTCTCCTGACATTCGACAGTAGCATCGCCTCTAGAGGGCGTCAGTGTTAGGATGGGTTATAAGTAGTGTCATATATAATCATACACGTACAATCATTGTGAAATGTATTTCCGTAAGCTCTTACAATAGTATAGTATAGTCAAAAAGAATAGTAAAAAAGAATAGATATAATATTGGTTACTATGGAACTAACTTTGGTAAATAAGTAAATAAAAACTATTTTTAAATGGGATGAAGGTGTGTAAAACGAGTAACTTTGCTTAGCATAAAGACGGGAAATGGCAAGTCTGGCTCTGTCCAAAGGTAACAAAACCCAACTACCAGGGGGTTCATGTGCGGGACTATTTCTCGGCCAGGAGAAGTTACTTCCTGCAGTCTTGTGATCAATGTGAGGTTGCCCAGCCACCAGCGGAGACTTTAGGTAGTTACTGCTCCCGGCCAAGACATATTTCTTAAGATAGACTTATAAAAACGTGAACCTGTCCTTCATCCAGGTGAGTAAACTGTAGCCAGGAGTAAAATGGTTAATGATAAAAAGCAAAGCCCTCTCACAAAGATCATAAATATAGATGCCCAAACAACATCAAAAGCCACTTGTGTTATCAATTTTGGGTAACTTAAAACTACACATCTACTTCAACACAAAACTATTCAGTGAAGCGTTCAGTGTTTGAAGTGTTACTGTGATAAATCACGTTATTATCAGTATTATGAGCATCATCACTGTTGTTATTACATAAGAAGCCTCTCCTCCTCCTTTATGGCAGCGTGTGGGTTCCTAAATGGGATGTGAATAAGTTAATGTATGAAGGTCGGTGTTGAAGCAACAGTGGCGCAGTGACTCGGCTCACCTGTCAGCCGGCGACGGCGCTCTGCTGATGCGGCTGTGACAGCAGGTGTCCTCCATACAGCACAGTGTGTGTCACAGCTGTCAGTCTCCTGACAGAGACCTGTCCACACTGTCCAGCCTAGTTAGGCAGACAGGCCAGGGAACACACATACACACACAGAATTGCGTGGCCATATTTGCAAGAGCACACACATGCACACAGATGTGAATAACACCACGTCAAGGTTAGTTAGAGCTGATAACAATTGATTAGCAGGCTGGCAGGAGTCTGACTGTTTAGGATATGAACTGGTTTAAACCCCTCACTCTCTCTCTCTGTCTGTTTCTCTCTTATATCTCTCACCCCTCTCCATGCCTCCCATCTCTGTCAGGGGTTTGAGTGTTTCCCAGAATCTGTCCTGCTGTCAGCACACATTACGTCTCACCTGTGCTTCCGCCTTTTGTGTCTTAAATGGAGACTGAGAATTGTATTTTTGAATGTTCTCATGCTATACGTAATGTGTTTACATGTTTTCTATTGTCCATCTTTTTTACATAATTGTGTGTTATGTAATAATGTTCTACAGCGTGATTCATTTAAAAGCCTTTTTTTTGTGCGTGTTTTGTTTCTCTGTCTGTGTGCGTGTGTGCTGCAGGTAGCCGAGATGCACGGTGAGCTGATAGAGTTTAATGAGCGCCTGTACCGCTCCCTCATGGCCAAAGACCACCTCATTGTCCAGATGAGACAGGAACTCATTGACCTGAGAGGACCGGTGAGTGACTGAACAGGCACACACACTGATGTCCCCTCTCATCTGATTTCTCTGCAGGTTTCCTCCTGCCTCCCCTCTCTGTCACCCTGTCATTTCCCTGACTCTCTCCTAGTGATTTTGTTTGATTTTGATCTCTGTTTGTTTTTGCAGTGGTTCTTCTGCTCATTTTTCTCTGCGGTCAGTGATTGCCAATAACGGTTAACTGCATTTTCCTTTTAGTGTTCATCTGTGAGATTCCTCTGTTTTTGTTTTTCTTTGATGCTCCTGCTCTGCAGTTCCCAGAGATAATCTGTCAGTCAAACAGTGTGTGCTCACATCTTTCTACTTTTTGATATTTTTTTTTGTAGGCGGTGCTCTTTTGGTGTCTGTTCAACCATGGCGGCTATCACTGCTTGTGCTAACTATCCATTTCTTCAAACAAACTACTTTCCCCCACAACTTTTAAAGTTGTCCTCTACAATCACAACAAACACACACAGGATGCCAACATCTGGTCATGCTCAGGAAAGCTCGAAGCAGTGTGGACACACAAACACACACACGGTCCACAGTGTGAGTTGATACAGCAGCAGTGATGGGAGCCCCAGGCTGAAGATAGGACCTCTTATCCCCCAGCTTCAGCCCTGCTCTGCTGGACCACTCACTCACTCTGTCTGTGTGTGTGTGTGTGTGTGTGTGTGTGTGTGTGTGTGTGTGTGTGTGTGTGTGTGTGTGTGTGTGTGTGTGTGTGTGGTTGTGTGTGTGTGTGTGTGTGTGTGTGTGTGTGTGTGTGTGTGTGTGTGTGTGTGTCTGTGTCCATCTGGGGCTTCTGATTGCTGCATGCTTCCAGCTCCCAAGAGCTGCTGCAGTTGACCAATCCCAGGTCACTTTCTCCCCGCCTCTACACGTCACCATCTCTCTCTCTCTTCCTCTCACTCCGCGATGTCTTTAATGTTGTGTGTGTTTTGTGTGTTTGTGTGTGACTCTTTTGGAGGGTTTGATCAAAGCCTGGAGGCTGGAGACCCCACTGAAGGGGGGCAGTGGTGAGAGTGTTTCGGCCCATTCTCTGTGGGAGAGCTGAGAAGCTTACAGGCCAGAGAGAGATGGAGGAAGGAGAAGATACATACACACGCTTTTTCACACACAGACACTCTCATCCAGAAGGCCAACATCTGGGCCCTGGTCATGTGGTTCCTCAAGGGGGCCTGGAAGGATGCAAAAGAGTGAAACAAATCACAGGCTCGATGAACTCACATACACACAGACACAATTGCATAGAGGGTGTCAGATTAGGATAACCACTGTTAACCAAGGATACTCGACAACAATAACACAACACACATCTGCATGAAGTCGCATACCAGATGTTTACTTCAGATGAGTAAACAGTGTGTTGCATATTGCAGTTGTTTCCAACCTGTTTTGTCCGGCCTATCCCCACACTTCACGAACGGCACCAGTTGTGTTCAAATGTGTTTGTAAAAAAGTGGATATTGTTGTAATATTTTCTTCATGCAGAAACTGTCAGTGTTTATGGTGGTTTAGTCACATTTGTATTTCGACTTCTACAACATGAAGACTCAGAAGCTGGACATTTTAACCATTTTCCCTTTACTTTCAGCAATTTCAACTCTTTAAATATCACTGTATACCTTTAGCCAACTATTTTTGCTTGACGGCCTCTTGTTTTCCAAAATACACACTCTGATATCACCAGCATACAACTTAAGTAACTTAATTGACATAACTACTTATTTTAACCCAAACATCTCCCAAACCCAAATCTTTTCCTAAACCTGACTGAACTACAACCGTTTTACAACGTTAACCATGTATCTATTATTTTAGCTAACTGTTTGAACTTGGTTTCCTGTATTCTCAGTCACAGCACATGGTGTTCAGGTGTTACTGGCTCAGGTTGGAGGCAGGTGTGCAGTCGCTTACCTGTCAGTGTGACAATAAATTTTCTCAAGTTCACCATCACACCAATTTGTAACTGAGACTTTCTTTTTTTTCCTTTCTTACTCGTCATCAATCTATCCCTCTCCCTTTTTCTCCAGGTTCCAGGTGATTTAAGCCAGACGTCAGATGACCCTAGCCTGTCAGATTTTGAGACGTAAGAATATTTCTCTTTTACTTTTGGTCTATTACTCTCTTCCCCTCACTCTGTCCTTCCCTCACTCCTTCTCCAACCTTCCCTCTTTTTATATTGATTCATTCCTACCTCTGGAGATCGAGATTCGTATCTTGCAAGAGCTATATCGTAACATATATTCTATTTCTTTCTCAATCTTTACCTGTTAACGCAGCTCGAACTCTGTTTGATTTCATACATTCATTCATCCTCTCCGCTTTCAGATCATGACCAAATTAGATTTTGAGGTGTTTTACCAGAGTGAGCTGTAATTTGCTGTAGCTCTCCCAAGCATAGTGCTGACACACTGTTGATGTTGCTGCTGCCAGTGATAATGATAATGATGATGATGATGATGACAGTGGTAGTGAGGATGGTTTGTTGTTTGTGTCAACTAGGGCTCATCGCGCTCTCATCAACGTGTGGATCCCCTCTGTGTTCCTGCAGGGCAGAGCTGCCAACGCCTACCACGTCTATCAGGTATATTCAGCCTCTTTCGTATCCGCCGGTCTGAGCAGTGTCCTCTGTTTACCAGCAAAACTAGCAAGTACAGTCATCACATAAAGACATAATACTCGCTGCTGGTGTATGTGAAAACGAAGAATAGTAGAGAGCGGTTTTTGTGATCAATTTGTTTGAGTTAATCCAAACAATAGAGGGATGGGGTTACAAGTTCATTAAGCCTAGAACAAATGAGCAAGCTCTGAGATAATTAAACATTAAACCAAGTTTGCATTAATACCTCATTATCATTGTCGCTCTCTGGGCTTGTTTTGCCACTCAACTCCACTCAAGTGGTCACAAAGAACACTTTGCTGGCCCATCTTTTTAGTAAACAGGCGGGGACAAATTTATTTTTAGCCATGCTAACAGTGTGGCCAGCAATTTTGGTGTGGTGGTCTTGTCTGTTTGTCGCTCCACCACTTTAGTCCAGTGGTATCTCAACAGATATTTGATGGATTGCCATTACATTATGGTGCTGATCTCCATGGTCCCAGGATGGGAAATCATAATGATTTTGGTGATCTCCTGACTTTCCCTTTAGCAGCACCATCAGTTTAACATGTTTTTTTCAGTAAATTGTCTCATAAACTGTTTGATGGATTGCCATTAAATTTGATTCTGACATTATGTTCCACTCAGAATGATTTGTAATGACCTCTAATGATCCTCTGACCTTAAATCTAGCATCATCATCAGGTCAAAATGTTTGGTTTCTGTCTGAATACCTGCAAAATGAATTACATTCCCATCATTCTCAGCTGTACTTCATGTTTATAGCTAAATAGAAAATGTTAGTATGCACATTTTAACTATGACCATGTTAGCATGCTGATGTTAGCGTTTAGCTTAAAGCATTATAGCCTTGCAGAGCTGCTAGACTAAAACTCTTAGGCTAAAAAAAATGGGTTGAGAACACAAGTGCCAATGCCCGCGATATTTTCCATCACAGAGGAAGAAGTGTTGTCCCCCCCTCCATCATAGTTGTGTTTCCCTTTAACACTGATTAATACCATCGCCAAAACTTTTCTAGACCTCAATCAGTCCTGAAATAGTGACTGCACTTCCCCTCTAGAGTCTGTACCACTTTAAAGTTGGTTCGCAGGCCTCTGGCGTAAAAGCCAATGATAACAGCACAACTGCACTTAACCAAAATAGTGGTTCCTGAGCTCTGTGCCGAGCACTTATCTAAGCAAGGTGTGTTGGGAACTGAACTCAAGAGCGGCTTAACAAACTGAACTGCTGCTTCTTATTGTATCTGTCAAGTTATCGAGCAAAGTAGACAACGGTGGCTCATTCCCTCGGTGACTGTTTTACTGTGTCTGTCACATTAACAAGGTGTTATACCTCAGCTCTCTCTCACCGCAGCCGTCCACCAGTTCCCCCTTGTGAGACAGAAACTCACACACTCAGACATTCAGTCCCCTGGTTCAGCTTTGTGAGACAGACAGTCACGCACACACACACACACACACACACAAATGCGCGCACACACAAACACACAAACTATTGCACACATGAATAGACACACATGTCCGTAGTGGTACGGACACAAATATAATGTTCCCTGGGTGGGAAACACACATATAAATACACACCGACACAAGAAAACACACACACACACACACACACACACACACACACACACACACACACACACACACACACACACACACACACACAATAAAAACAATGAAGAGCAGGTACATTAGAACCACTTGTCAGACAGAATAACACACACACACACACACACACACACACACACACACACACACACACACTGTGCTGTTATCTGCTCTGTAGCCAGGAGGTACAGCTGTAACGTTAGTCAGGGGAAACCACATGGGACGGGAAGAGACAGGTGTCACATCCTCAGCTCTAACTGATAGTCAGGACTGGCTGGCCACCGAGCTCAGCCCGACTTGACTTATACATAATAGATGTAAATTCACAACTCGGGCTCGAGCCGAGATCTCCTTTTTGTGCGAAACTATCTCCCTCCTCCTGACAGGATAGAAGCAATGACAATGGCAAATGAGATCCGCTGTGTTAATTCCTCTCGTTCCTGTCACTATCATCTTCATGGATTCTTTGGGTCAGTATTGTTTACTGAAAAGCAGACGCTCTGATAGAAATGTCTGGGATTTCTCAACACATGAGGAAAATGATTTAGAATTAGTATTTTCTGGCATTGGCGGTGGTAAAATACTCATGTAGAAAGCAGCAAAAGGTCTAGTGTGTAACATTTTGGAGGATCTGGTGGTAGAAATGGCGTATTCATAGGTTTGTTTGTAAGTGTGTAATCACAGGAAAATAAGAATCATTGTGTTTTGGTTACCTTAGAATGAGCCATTATTATCTCTTCTACTGAGTTCGCCATGTTTCTACAGTTGCCCAAACACCAGCTTTAGGGTCTTTCACATTTTTTGTGAGGCCACTGTAGTTTCTCCTATATGCTTGGAAGGCCTTAAATACCCTCTGATATTTGGTCACTTAACAACACTTTAATGAAACAGTAAATGGACGACAAACAAGCAATGTCAGGAAAGGAAAAGAAAAACATATTTAAATAGATATATAATCAGAAATACAACTGTAAACCTTCTAGATTAAAGTTTTCTCTCTTAGATTAAACTGAACTAACTCATGCCTCTACTCTCCTGTCCCAGACTCTCCCTGTCCTGATCTTAGTTTGAGTTTTAGTCTTGCTTGGAACCTCTGTATTCCCTGTCATCAAACTATTTGAAATAAACCCTTAATTCACCGCACTTTTCAAATGAATGAAATATGATAAAAAGTTTGTGTAAAAGTATGTGAAAACATTTTAGTATGCATATATCTACTATGCTTTAGGCAATAATAAGTGTCCACCTGCAGTTCCACATTCATGGATTGACTCCAACATCAAACCTGAGCATTTTCCATGTGTTGCACCAATTTAGCCTAATTTCTCCCTCTCAATAACGGTCTCTGTGAGACTGCTGTCCAGCCCTGGAGCTGGTATAAAGCACAGCCCATCTGGTGTATTGGATACTTCCCCTCCCAGAGCTATATTCGTCTAATGGCTCCCTATGGAAACAGCTTTTGTTCTTAGACAGGCTAATGGATGGCCAAGGTTACTGGAGTCATTGTTGTTAAGGTGAGGTTGTTGTAGTGATTGAACGCCAAGCCAACAGTCTTAAAGACCGGCGAGTATCATGAGGAGAAGGCAGGGGTCTCTTTAATATACCCTCAGGCGGGTGCATAGACTTTTTTCTCAGTATTTTTCTCATTCTCCACACTCACAGACGCATATGCTTGCAAAATTGAACCAATGATGAGAGCAATGAGCCATAGCCGAATGGGATCTTAGAAGCCAAGCCCAAGTTAGGTCACAGCAACCTTGTGGTTGAAACACACTAACAGCTCTATTCTGCTGCTATACTCACCCAGAGAGGGAGATCTAAGCGCCACCTCTTGCGTCGTGTGTCCCTAAATGTCTGCCTGCTTTCTTCTCTTTCCCTCCTGCGTCATCCCTCCATTCTCTCTGCCCTTATTTTTCAGCCTCCCTTTCCGACTCCCTCCCTCTGCCAGATTGCATTGCATTATGGCGGCGCTAAAACTGCTTGTACTCCATTTTCTCTCTTTGCATTTTGTCAGGGGCACTTTTCTCTCCAAGCTCTCTGAAATGACTTCCATCTAAAGCTCAAGTAAGGCCTGTGGATGGATGACAAGAGACAGACAGAGATGGAGAGCGAGAGACTGATGGATTTGTTCCATTATCAGTCCGGTTTTGCTCTTAGTGGCACGCCGTGCCTCTGGGTCTTCATCCCTCCATTGCTCCATCCCTTGCTGTACCTCTTGACCCCTTCTGAACTCATAATGAGAGAATTATACTGGCCGCGGCAAATCAGTGTCTCCCTGCCGCACAAAACCAACAATCGAGGCTATCACTAGAGAAGTCATTTGGTGTGTGCAGGTGTTTTCATCACCTGTGTATTTTAGGCTGGCATTGTGCCGCCGAAAGAGTGTCAGTCAGCCAGAAGCTGAAACCGACGAGGAACTCTTTTCTTTTCCAAATAAATGAGGCACTGGCTAGTTTTATGTTATCAGGATCTGGATAATAGGGCAGTCAGCTAAAACTCATAACTAAGAACTAAAGGAATTTGGATATTGGGTTCCACTTTGGTCCAGACTGAAATACTTCTGCAACTGTTGGACAGTTTGTCACAAGTACATTCATACATACATTCATGGTGCTCACAGGGTGAGTACTTTAATGATCCTCTGACCTTAGGGGGGTAACCTGCACCACCAGCAGGTCAGCATTCACACTTTTCCAGTGAAACATCTCATCTGCTTAATAAAGTGGCACAAAACATAGCACAGTTGGCCCTTGCATGTAACTCTTAGACAGTGAACAGTACAGTACAGTCTCACAGAGCGGCTAATGAGGCTGTAGACCTAAGTTGTATCTTTTGGGTGTGGTACTTTCCATGCTTGGTTTCTACACATGCTTTTTGGTCAGTTATTAAGGGCAACACAAGCCCCTTGACACGCTGCATGCAGTTCTACACATGGGTGTATTGAGACTGGCATCATCATAAGTTGAGACATCAGGACATGTACTCCTCCTACAGTAACAAACAATTATCACATTCACTCCAAAGACTGGCACATCCTGACTACCATACCTTGACATATGCTGTTTATGGTGCATTCTTTAAGTCTTGTACCAGATTACTTAAATTCCCCCCCTTTTTTTTTTACTTCTTCATATCCCATTGTTTCAGGATAGAGTGGAACTTCAGCTCATGTTCATATACAACACAATATAAAAGCTATAACTCTGAATCAAGCTGTTTGACTCTCGTCTCGTCTCTCTGGGGTAGTCCTGCTGAGAAACTCACTGCTGTGCTGCTGTCTGACGGGAGCTTTCAGGTCGTTGATTACTAGGTGTCATACCTGTGGCGCTGCAGCAGCGGGAGGGATATACTCTT